GAATCATTGGTCTGGTTCAAGGCCTCTGGCTTCTGATACACCATCACTACTTGACCCTCATCAAAACTCCTCTCACATAACGTGCTGTTGCCCCTAGTCATGGAGGTCCCGTGGCTGTGGTTCCACAGAACCAGTCTCTTTATGCACTCCAGCACATCATAGATGGGGTGGATGTTGGGGTGGACCAACTCAAAGCCCTGGATGTGTGCCTGGGTGGTAGCTGAGTTGGTCAGTCTGGCCTCTGGGACCATCCCCCTCAGGCAAGGAACACAGCCTTTTCTCCCACAACTGTGCTTAAGGGTGGACCCAGCTCTCCTGAGTTGTGGGGACAGCTCTCCTATGAGGGGCAGGAAAAGCCCAGAATGGCCTTTTCATTTCAACCCCTGTGGTAACAGGGGCAGCGGACATCAACACAGACCCCTGCTGCAGCAGGATCAGGGACCCAGACATGGCCTTCGTCAGTAGCTTGGGCCCATTTGTCACCATGGCCCTAGTGGTAGCACAGGTCACTCAGATCAGCACGGCCCTGGGGGCAGCAAGGACCTCGAACAAGAACATGGACTTAAGTGGCACCCAGCCCCCAGGCATCCACATGATCTTCAATGGTAACAGGAGCCACAGACATCTACACAGACCCTGGCGGTGGTATGGCCATAGACCCAGACATGGCCCTCGACTGCAGCTCCAGCCCAGACTTCACCGTGGCTCTGGGTGGCATCACAAGTCACCCAGATCTGTATGCCCTCTGGCGGCAGCCCCTCAGACACCAACATGGCCTCAGGTGTCCACATAGACCCTGAGCATCTGCATGGCCTTCAATGGTAACAAGAGCCACAGACCTGGCCCTTGGTAGCAGCCCAGGCCTGGATGTCACAAAACAGGCAACCCACAAGAATGTTTTCTTATAGACAAGAAACACATGTTCCTCATTCTAAGACACAGTCCTTACATAGCTCAGCTTCAAGTCTATTCTTCCCTGGCAGGAAGGACAGGCACTGTGGGGACCACCTGCTGGAAGTAGATGTCCTGTCACTCCACTGGTCTTTCTCTAGGCACACCAGTACACATGGCTCCCAACCCTTCCTACCTAACACACACAATACCCTGCATCTAAGGCTGGCTGGGAGTGTCCTGGCTCCTACCTCTGAGTTCAGAAGACCCCTTCACCTCTGACTAGCTGTGAGACCTTTCCAAGAAACTAATGCACGCCTTAACTTTCTTCACTTGTTAACTAGTGATTAAAATATATGTCATGGCTACTTATGAGAATCACATAAATTATTATAAAGTTATGCAGTACAATGGATTCTATGTATTTGTAAGATATTTAATAAGGACTTGTTCTTTTTTTTTTTTTTTTTTTTTTTTGGTTTTTCGAGACAGGGTTTCTCCGTGTAGCTTTGCGCCTTTCCTGGAACTCACTCTGTAGCCCAGGCTGGCCTCGAACTCACAGAGATCTACCTGTCTCTGCCTCCCAAGTGCTGGATTAAAGGTGTGCGCCACCACCGCCCAGCTTGGACTTGTTCTTTAACATGGAATATCATATGGGTAGCTTTAGGAACCCATGGACCTTCATCCCCGTCCCCTGTACAATCATTCTATGTTTATTTAAGAGCTTGAAGTCTCACCCACTTCTCCTTGGTGATCAGCATAGGATCAGGGAAGAGCGAGCAGTGGCTTCAGCTCAGCCAGGTTTGGCTGTGTTAGAGTAGAGATGGCACCCTGGGAATCAGGGTGGCTGTTCCACTTCTTCCACACATTCCCTCATCCTGCAATAGCTCACTCAATACAGCAGGATGTACATGTGCTCCTGAGATGTTTAAAGTCCCTGGTGCCTTTTCTAGTGTCTAGCTTTTTATAGTCAGGTCACCCACAACAATGGTGACACATGAAAGCAAACCATCATGCTGCTGGAGCATGTTAGGAGGACATGGCAGCGCCTGGTAGTTGAGAGACTTTGGCAGTTCTCCTCCAAATCTGGCCTCCGGCACAGTATGAGCCAGGTGAGGCCACTGTCTCTCTACCTAAAGAACTGACTTCTTGGGACTTGGCTCTGTCCAGCTAAGCCTGTTCTCCATTCCATGTGTTTTCTTCAGAAAATGTGGGGTCCATTTTTTAATGAAATAATGGATTTTAAAGTATCTTAAAAGCTTTGAAGTGCTTTATGAATGATTATTTACTTAAGATTGGTTTGCAGTCAGAACCTAGAAAGTGCTAGTCTGTTTAGATCCCAGCAAAACATCTGAGATTTTTATTTTCTTCACTCAACTGCCATTTACTGAATCTTCAAGGCATTGAATTAAGTATTTGGGTACAATACTAAACATGAAGATGAAGCCCTGTTTTTGGAGAGTCTTATGAGGGAGGTGGATAATAAGTTAGTAAAGAAACAGATAAAACAGTTAACAGTGTACTGAGTGATCTCAAGGAAAGAAAAAGCCCATTAAGGAGATGATATTGGAAGTAAGACTTGGCCAGGTATGGTAGTGCAGGCATGCAATCCACTTGTGAGTTTGAAGCCATTCTGGGCTACATAGTGAGTTGAGAGTATGCAGGGGGGTAGGTTACTTGACGAACAAATGGGATCCAATCCATTGTGCAAAGTTCAAGAGAAAGAATGTTCCAGGTAGAAGGATTCTAAGTGCAAGATTCCTGAGGCAAAAAAAAAGAAATTTGGCATGCTCACAGAACATAAAGAAACTATGTAATTAGAACACATTGATACACAGAGGATGGCTCACTGATGATAAACAAGGGCCACATTGCACAGTCTCATAAGCCATGGTAGGGAATTAGGATGTTATCTTGTGTGTGATGGAGAGGGAGAAAATGTTTAACATGTCTGATCCCTCTGACTCCGTGGAAAGTATACTTGACATGTAGATGAGCAAGCAAGAGTAAAATCAGGGAGACAAATCATATAACATTTGTAGTGATCTAGGCAAGAAATTATGACTCATGGTTTTCAGGAGAAGAGTAGGTGGTAAGATATATAGCTGACTATTTTTATTGAATTTCGCAAAAAAAAAACATTTAAATATAATATATTAATTAATTCTTTGATAACTTCATATATGCATGCATGCAATGTATTTTTATTATTTTCACTCCTACTCCTCCAAACTCCTCAGCTCAATCCAAGACCCACTCCCTACCTACCTCCTCATGTCCTTTAAAAAATCATTATAACCCACCAAGTCCATTTTGTACTGCCCATGAGCTCATGGATATGGGGCCATCACTGGAGCATGAATGACCTACTAGGAACCACACCCATAAAGAAAACTGGCATTCTCTCCCCTAGATACCATCAACAATCAATAGCTCTCTAGCTAGGGATGTAGCTCATGACCCCAAGCACTAGCCCCCTGCCACACACACCACAGCTGGAATATTGATTGGATTGATCTTATGCAGATAGAGTGAGTGCAGTAGTCTTGTTTAGTCCTGATGATAAGGTTTCCTTCCAGTCTTCCCTGAGCCCTGGCTCTTATAATCTTTCTGGACCATCTTCTGTGTGGTCCCTGAGCCTTGAGGGGAGGGAGTATAACATAGATGTATCATTCGTGGCTGAGCACTCTCCAGACACTTTCGTTCTGCACACTGACAAGTTGTAAATTCACTGTCTTCTGCTGCACTAAGAAACTACTCTGGTGATGCCTGAGAGATGCACTAATGGTTGAGTATAGAGATATCAGTTTGGAGAGAAGTTTGAATCTATACCCATTTAGCAAAATAATAATTGACTTACCCCTGTGGTCTGTGAGATCCCTAACAATGGGTTCTTGGCCAGATTTATAGAGATCTACCAAAAAGTCCCAAATTAGAACTAATGACCTACTTTTCCTGAAATGACTAGTAGTGGCAACCTCTTGAACGTGGTCACAATGATGATTCCAAGGTCCTAAGGTCATCTGGAAGATGACACACTTAAAGGCCAGGTGGAAGAAGCTTATACCACTCCTGTCTATATCCCACCAGAGAAAAACAACTGCATGCAGCTTAACCACAAAGGAGACTATGAAATGTAGTTTCACGTGCAATGAGAAAGAGTGAACTGCAATAGAACTGGAGGAGCACAGATCATGATCTCTGCCACACTGTCAGAGGAGAAACTGGAGAACCACACAGAAACAGAGATGGGGGAGAAGGCATCTTCAAGGAGGAGGAACTGATCAATGCTGTCATACTACAAAAAGATGAAGTAACAGACCCACATAAAAGAGTGGCAGGAATTTTCCTTTAGGAGCTCCCTGGTAGCATTATCAAGAACAGCTTGTGTTGTACAGTGAGAGTGGGAGGTGAGAAAGTAAGTAGGAAAAATATAGACTGTTTTGTAGGAGAAGCTGAGGATGAGATGGTGGGAAAGATAACATAGTATCCAGAGGTTAACTAGTTGTAGATATTTATTTATTATTAAGACAGGATCTTACTATGTAGCCCTGGCTGGCCTGGAACTGCTATATAGATTAAGTTGGTCTCAGAGACACAGAGAGCTGCCTGCCTCTGCCTCCAGAGTGCTGAGCATACACACCCTGCCTCATCATGAGATTTAAAAATAGTAATAAGCAAGATAAATATAAGTTAAGACTAAGGGGCTAGTTATGAAGAAAAAATTACAAATTATGAGATGATTGAGGCATCTAGAAGCTAGGATAGAATGTGATCAAAATACAGTGATTATATTACTCATGGAAAGGAGAAAGAACACAGCTTCTTCTACGAAAATTCTACAATTAAGGGACAGGTAATGGAGAACGTTCATGTCTAACTGTATTTATTTCTTCGAAAGAGTTCAGGCCTGTGTTCCATTTTTGCTCTAGGATTTTCTGAGTGAAACTCTTCTGTCATAGACCATGGTATCATAGCAGAGATGGGAGGACATTCTCTACTGGTATTAGATCTGAAGGGAAGCAGTGTTCTTTAGGTATGGCAAGTGTTCTAGAAAGAAGACAGCTTGTGTTCGTGAATAATCTGTTCTTTTTCTCCTGTCTGGCTAGGCTGTGACAACATGCTGATGAGTATAAAGTCTCTGAAAATAGTGAAGAAGACCATGGACCCAGATGGCTCTTGGATGAAAGATGCTGGTGGTAACTCTGCAAAAGTGTATTTATTAATTGGATCTAGACACAACACAGTTTGGGAATTTGCAAACTTGCGGGCATTCATGGAAGATAGCAGCAAGCCTGGCCCCCGGAAGCTAATCTTACCACTTTCCTGGCAGGGGTCAGGGCAAGTGATCTACAAAAGCTTTCTATTTTTTCACAATCAAGGAACTTCTAATGAGATAATTAAATACAATCTGCAGAAGAAGACTGTGGAGGATCGAATGCTTCTCCCAGGAGGGGCAGGCCGAGCACCCATCTATCAACACTCCCTATCCACTTACATTGACCTTGCTGTGGATGAACATGGGCTCTGGGCCATCCACTCAGGACCGGGTATCCAAGGCCATTTGGTTCTCACGAAAATTGAGCCAGACACTTTGGGGGTAGAGCATTCATGGGACACACCGTGTAGAAGCCAGGATGCTGAAGCTTCATTCCTCCTATGTGGGGTCCTCTATGTGGTCTACAGTTCCGGCGGTCAGGGCCCTCATCGTATCACCTGTGTCTATGACCCACTGGGCACTGTTAGAGAAGAGCATCTGCCCAATTTGTTCTTCCCCAGGAGGCCTAGGAGTCACTCCATGATTCATTACAACCCTAGAGATAAGCAGCTGTATGCCTGGAATGATGGCAATCAGATCATTTACAAACTCCAGACAAAGAAAAGGCTGCCTCTGGAGTAATGGACGGCAGCTTGGGGGGCGGGGGGCGGGGAGTTGTGTGGCTTGAGCAGTGGTTTTCCAGAACACTGAGGTCACAGCCCCTTTAGAGTGTAGTACCCCTCTAGAGGCACACAAAAATAGAATGTAAAAGTTTAAATACATATTATTCCTTTCCCAAATGTCATTGCCTTAGGTATCATTTGAGAGCATAGATGAGGCCATTGTTCCAATGTTTTGACCAATACCCCATCCTCATCCAAGTCTGATGGGGCTTAAGGCCTCCTCCATCTGATCTTAGTCCCAATCTTTCCTTATTCCAGAATTTTCTCTGACTCTATTCCTCTTCCAGCAATTAGGATATTGCCACCCCTGACACTCACTGATTTCTTCTTTGGCTTTCACTCAGGCTCTGTCCTCTTTTTCAAATGCTTATAAATATTTTTTCATTGACCAACTTTATTAGTTAATTTTCTTGTTGCTATGACCAAATACCTAGCAAGCAACTTAAGAGAGGAAAGGTTTGTACTGGCATATAGTTTTAAAGGGGAGCGAGCACAGTGGTGCATGCCTTCAGTCCCAGCGCTCAGGAAGCAGAGGCAGGTGGATCTCTGTGAGTTAAAGATTAACCTGATCTACATTGTAAGTTCCAGGCCAACCAAGGCTACAGAGTGAAACCTTATCTTAAAAAAAAATGGATATAGTCCATCACCGTAGTAGTCAAAGGGTGGTAGCAGTGGCATGAGACAGCTGTTCATATTACATCTGCAATCCAGAAGCAAGGAGCAGACCAGAAGTGGGGCTGCACTAAGAAACCTAAAGGCTTACCCTCATAGTACTCACCTCCTCAAGTTAGGCCTGCACCCAGCTGGGAACCAAATGTTCAAGCACATGAGCCTATTCAGCACGTTTCACACTGAGGCCATAACACTCAGGAAGCACTATTTCTTGTTGATGTTTAATTTTTATTTCCTCTAGCCTTGCCCTTTGCTAAGCCAAGTGGATACAGTAACAAAATAAAAGCAATAATAGTTGGATGTTACTTTCTAGTTACAAGGCCTTTTAACATTGTTTAATTCTCTTTTTACCTTTGTAGGTGCTTGCAAATCTTTATAGTTGCTAAGCCAGAGAAACTACAAAATGAAAGAGCTAGAAAAGATTGCAAATATCATAGTCATTCCATCATCCAAGGAAGGAAGTTTCAATTATATACTTTTGCCGACCTATCCTTAATCATTATGTCCACAGTTCAGCCTAAAAATAATTAGTTAGACCCTTAGGCAGTTCTCATGTCTGCACAAGGTCTTCTTGTAGGTCTTTCAAAGTCAGCTTTCTCCAGAAAACCAGCCCAAGAATAAGGACAAAAGTCTAGCCTCATCTTGTCTTTCTGTTGCCTGCTTCTTTCTTCTTGCTTTAAATACAATAAAAGTGATATTTAGCAAATAACCTCATCGGGTTATATTTGCCTATATCCCCCCAGCACGAAAGCTTTCCAGTATTATCTGTGTTGGGCTTACTGTAAACATTCCCTAACACTCGGAGGCCCTTGGTAAATACACTAGTCTGGATGGAAGCCAGGTAGCAGACAAGCAGCTTTGCCACAGCAGGCATGCTGGGCATTGCAGAGGGTAGTTGAGAGGGACATCTGCAAAGTGTTTCCCACATGTGTGTCCCATTTGGCTGAGTCCAGGTCACAAGTGAGACTGCAGTGCCAGCCTCAGTCATGTGCTGAGGTCTCTGCCTTTCCAGGTTGGTCACATGAGAAGGCTTGCTTTGTATACTTGCAGCTGTCTATCTGTCTTTGCCAAGTCCAGTCTGGGACCACAGGCAGTGAAGAGAAATCCCCACCACCAACACCATATACCATCTGAGTAAATCTTTGGCAGAAAGGAATGACCCACAGCTCTGATGAAATGTCCCCAAGAGCCCAAACCTTTTGCAGAATAATGAATGAATAAACGATGTAACTGCTCCATGAATCCAGGAATCAATACTTGCTCTATGGGTAAAGTACATTACCTACCTTTCTGACAAAGAAAGTGACCTACTCACATTGAAGGGTGCAGGAGCATTATCAAAGGAGTGAGTCCTGTATACATGGCTCCTTTGAAGTCAAGAGAATAGTTTGCTTGTAGTGTGCTGTCTGGCTTCTATCTGGGAAGTGCTTGGAATGGACAACTCTGCAGGATACACCTATCCCAAACTGCTCACCCTGGTACACAGAACCCCCACAGGTAGAATATCTCTTTTAGGTGAAGAAATGTTCTTCAGGAAGAACCTGTTCATTGCTACGTTTCCTAATAGCATGCAGGCCCTGGGACATCTGCTTCAGTATCTTTCACATGTCTGCTTTTCAGCTCTAGTCTGGCTGGATTTAAATGAGGATTGATGATGTCTCCATGACCCACATCAATGGTTATTATATTGTAGCACATAAGAATCACCTGAGGAGCTTTAAGAATTCCAATATTCAGGCTATACTCTCCAATGCCATTAAATCAGACCCTCTGGAGTGGGAGGAAAGCATCTGTATTTTTAAAGCTCCTTCCCAAACTGCACATAAGCTTGAGAAAGCCAATTTCATACAACATTTTGCAAATAATTGTATACTTCTGAGAAAATACTAGCAGTTTCTGGGGGCCCGGGCAAGAAACTGGGCACCCCTAGGTTACCAGTGGGATTTGGAACTGCCCACTAACGCACAGGAACTCATGTGAACTGCACAGGCTCTGTCTCCAAAGGCCTCTCCGCTATTTTAAGGAAGTGAAAGAACCAAAGGGTGTCCTGCTGTGACACAAGTCTCTTGGGCCCCAGCTTTTCAGATGCTGGCTTTGCCTTTGCTCTGCGGCTGGCTAGGTCCCAGCAGTGCTCACACACCTGTTTGCCAGAGTGCTTATGTTCTGTTCACACGTGCAATCCTCTGGCCACCCCAGTCATTTTAGACTACCAGGATTTGAAAAAAAAAAAAAAGTCGTGTCCTGTAGTATCTGTCAACACTCGGGTGTAAGCAACTGAGCAGTTTAGTAGTAACTCCTGCCAGAGTTCCTGGTGTCGCTGTCATCTGAGGTCCTGGGGATTTTAAGCAGCTAAACTGAGCAGCCAGCCCTTGGAGGCCCCAGTAGGGCAAGCACCTGTGATGCAGCAGACCTGCACACTGGAAGTAGGTGCTGGGACTCGGTCTCCAGGGCACAGTCCTTTGGGATTTGAAACTCCAGCCCCTATGGGCAGACACTGCCACAATTTTCTTTGGCTTACTTGTACCTGACCTCTCTGGACACAGGAAGTGTTTATTCACAAGGCAGGGCACCAGAGCTTTCCGTAGGTTGTCAGCCACTAGAGGTCATGAGAGGTCGCGGGGGTTGGAGCGCAGTCAGACCTTAGGGTGAAGCGGAGCCCGCCAAAATGAGGGTGGTCTAGTCTGAAACAAGGAATGATGCAGCCCTTAGGCCACCCTCAATCCCGATGGGATCACACACGGCTCCGGGTGTGTGTCGGTGTATGTGTGTGGTTTTCGGTGCTCCTCTCTGCAATTCTCCGCACAAGTATCCTGCTTCCACGCTGTCATTTTCCACGTCCCGGGAGCAATAGTGACAGACTGCAGAAGCTCAGGGGACCTGAGTACGGTGGGACACAAGAGAAATGCCTAGGGGCCGCCCTGCGCCGGAAGAGTGCGAGAGTCCGAGGTGCAAACAGTGGGTAGGACGCAGGGAGGGGCGTGGTCTCCTGGGAGGGGTGGGGCTTGAGACCCGCACGCGGAGCGCTGCCGGGGGGCGGGGCTGACCAGGCAAGTGGAACTGGAACTGTGGCTCTTGGGTCCCAGCGGGCCACAGCGGGAGAGGGAGGAGGGGTGACAGAGGGGCGGTCCTAGGGGAAGGCCCCAGCAGCCAAAGAGCCACACTCCGGGACGAGCCTCTCCGGGGCCCCGCCTCCGTCACGTGTGCGCCGTACCGGGTCGGTGCTGGCGGGTCGGCTGGTTGGTTGGCAGTTGGTCCCAAGGCTAGTGGCCTGTCGCTGAGTTCTCGGCTCTTATGTTGGAAGGTGAGGGGAACACGGGAGCGACCCGCACACCTGAGCCTCCGGGGAAGAAGCTGCGCTCAGGCATCCAGGTCAGTGGGCTCTCCTGGCCCCGGATCACCGCTATCCCGGGAACTGAGCGCCCCCAGATATAGGAGACACATGAGTAGTTTTGGGGTTCGTGGGCCTTTAGATCTCCGAACGTTTTCAAGACTTGGGAGATCCGCTTATTTGGCTGGGAGACTGGAAGCAGGGTATACCTCCTGTGGATTTGCATGAGTTTCCCACCGCACTCTGCTCCCAGTGTGCCACCAGCCTCGCGCTTCTACAGGTGCTAGGGTGGTCCCGGGATAATGGGGTGCTCCGATATCTCCGAGTTCCGGGCGATTATGTACCAGCTTGGTGCCCCATGAGAGCAGCAGTGGCGTCAGATGGAAAGCCCAAGGTGGTGAGGAAGTTGAGGACGGTTTATCCAGGTTAATCTCTCTGATCTATAGAGCCTTGGTCCTCAGCGCCTTGGCCAGGAGCAGTTGTGTACACTAATTGCTAAGTTCAACATGCTTCCCAAAGGCTCAAGGCAGGGAATCTTTGTAGAACGGGATTGGGATGTCAAGATACGTACATTTTAAAAAGCGGGTACTTCTCCCTCCTTCCATCTCGACTCCAGACCCGTAGTTTTCCTTCCGATGAAAATAAGTTTATATGTTTAAAGACAAGCACTTTCAAGGTTCAAGTAAGATTCAAATAGATATTCAACTCTTCCTTTCAGAGCATTGAGATATTTGATATGGATCAGTCTTCCTCTTCCATATTTTGGGCTAATTATCTGTCTTCCTCTCTCTTGGTCCTGAACTGATTATACTACATATTGGAGTGTTTATAAGATTACCGTGTATTTTGTGAAGTTAAATGCGCAACTACAGGAAGGAAGTCTACCACAGACCTAATTAACATATAGTCTTGGATTGCTATTGGTATATCAAAAATGTTATCTGATTAGAAATTCGTTCTTTACTTTGGGAGAACCAGCCCATTCATATTCTATTTACTTTCATATTTAAATGACTTTAAAGTGGAATATTGTTAAGTCTTTTGCTGTTATTTTTATTTGGGATTTTATTTAATGTTAGTGGTGATGGGGACTGGTGAACTAATTTAGGACCTTGTGAATGCCAGCAAAGCAAATGCTCTACCACTGAGCAACACCTCCCAGCCCTCACATAATATATTAGTGGTATTACTTTGATATTTGATAATGTGCCAATTTTAGTTTATTGCTTCTGGTTGAGACAGGCACAATGCTCTATCGTGTGTGTTGTGGTAACTAAGGCAGATGTGCTATGATTTTAAGAGTAAGTGGGTAATGTAAGCAATACATGTAAGAGTGGCAGGAGAAAGCGGGAACAAACTTGCAGAAATCCTAGTTTTTTTCATCAGAAATAGGAAAATTTAGGAGAGTTTTAAGAAGGATCAATCTATGTGAGGTACCTCGCAGGAAAGTATCGTTTGGCCTGGGCCACGGAACGGCTTATAAGGCAAACTCAGTCTGGCTCGAAGAAGTGGCTACTGGTCATTCTTGGTTCCTGGCCTGAGTAGTAAACAAAGCAACAACAAACAAACAAAATAACAAACAAAACTGATATCCCAGCTGGCGCCTGAGGCAGGTGGGAGGCCATGGGCATCAACGAATGGGAAGTTAAGGAAAGACTGACTTGTGGTCAGCTGAGCTTATCAAAGTTAGAGGCCTTGACCCTTGACCTTCCCAACTCCCAGACTAACAGAAATCCAGTAAACATTTGTGGAGTGAGTGGTCAGGTGACACTGTAGAGCTTCACTCTTCAAACACAAGCCTGAGAATCACCCAGTGCTCTTCAAATGTGGGTCAGGGGTAGAGCCTGGCTTCCTGCATGTCTAACCTATCTCTCTCCTGTCTGTATCAAGAATTCAAAGTAGTGCCGGGCAGTGGTGGCACACGCCTTTAATCCCAGAACTTGGGAGGCGGATCTCTGTGAGTTCGAGGCCAGCCTGGGCTACCAAGTGATTTCCAGGAGAGGCGCAAAGCTACACAGAGAAACCCTGTCTCGAAGAGAAAAAAAAAAAAGAATTCAAAGTAGTGATCTACAAACCTGTGCCTGGGGGAGTTTTTCGAATTATTCTGGTTAAGTAGGCCCAAGGCATTTTTACCGAGTTCCCTAGTAACAGCCAGGTGGGATAAGCCTCAGGACTTGGCAGTGCTTGGAGGACCACAGCTGGGAGACCAGTTAGGAGACTAGCAGGCCCACTCAGGTCAATGTGATGAGAGTGAAGTGTGAGCAGACAGAAGAGACCCTGGGAATACTGAGTCTTTAGGACCAGGGCCAAGGAATGGGAGATACCAGCCCAGTATGCCCCAATCATATTGATTCGGCAGAATTAGACACTAGGAAAAGGAAC